AAATGTTAATGCATGAATGGGTGAAAGGAAGGGTGAAAGAAAGAAAAAAATAACAAAAATAAGTTTGACCCTTGGGCATCAAATATAATTCAAAGATAGGCTGTACATACACAAATATTTTTGTTTCCTTACCTGATTTTGAACAAGTCTGTCCAAGGGTTGTGTATTCAGAGCAAAGGCGGGAGAAACGCTCCTGCATGGCTGTGAGTTTGAGAGTTAGAGACGCAGCCTCAGACTCATCATTCTCGACTGGCTTTACAGCGACAGATGATCTGCGACTGTTTACCACTGCAAAGAGACAGAGTTTTATATCAATATATTAACCCAGCAGCCGTGCAAAGACTGGTCTTAAATAAATTGATAAGTTACCAGCTAGCTACCAGCAAATCAGCTATTTATTATTATTGCCTATCAGGGATATTTAGAATTTATATTTGGAATTATGTCTGCATGTATATCCTCCTGATGCTGTATACAAAACATTTAACCAGTCAATAGCAAAAAAGGCTATTCTATTCTATTCTGTTATTATGTAGGGACATGCAATATATTGTACAATATCACTTATTTGGCTATATTATACAATTTTATTTATCGGTATTTGTCAATAATGTTTATACTTATTTTCTTTCTTTTTTTTGTTACATGTAGATTACCTTTGCCATCATCCAATGCTCACCTAAATTTACACTATTAAAAACACTATTAATTTAATAACACTGTTAAATGTAATCTTCAGCGATTCTCAAAATGAACACTAATTTTTCTTGTACATTATACTTTTCTGATGCCTAAATTGATTTTCACTGTGCTTATAACAAGTGATTTAATTATTTTAATGTTTTAATATTAATTATTTATATTTGTACTTAATTTAAATATTTAGACAAAATATTACAGAATTTTAATATCGGCATATTAGTATCTCGCAAAAGTTTAATATCCATTCATCCCTGATTTAATTATTCTATTCTATTCTATTCTACAAAATATCAGTACCATATTTTATATTGGCCGTGTATGCTCATTTCCCATATTATACATTTACATTACCTAAGTGTTACCTTAATTTAATAACACTTTTTCACAAATTTAATAAAACTTTTAAATGTTCTTTAGCAAACTTCAAAATAATTTAAATATGAATTGAATAACACATTATTCATAATCATAATTCATATACATAATTACATTTAAATAGCAGTTCTCAAATTGAATATAATTTTTTTTCATTATATAATGTTGTGATGTCCAAACTTAAAATGTGATTTTAGTTTTTGGTGCTTTATTTTTTCATTTATTTAGAGAAGCTCAAATTTTAATATTTGCTTATCAGTATTGTCCAGCATTTTGCTATTGGTGCATCTCTAGCCTAGTCTCTTCTATTCATTATGAAACCCTCTGCACCAGAGTTTCAGAGGCGTGCTTACGTGCATAATGTCTGTTTACTTACAGAAAACGCCAAGTACTATGTTTGCACAAACTGAGGTCAATAGAGCAATGAGCAGTACAAGAGAAGCCTGCCCCCTCAAACACTTCACCCCTTTGTGAACACCTGATGAAACACAAAATCATCGTCAGATTAATTGATTATTACTCTGACTTATCCCACATTTCTCTACATTTATCTTCCACTCCCCCCTCAAGTTCACACACTCACATATACACACATACATTACCTTGTTTGCCTTGCGATGTGAGTATAGGTCTGTTTCCACTATGAGAGATATCCTCTGTGAACTCTTGTAAACTGGTGTAATTTTCAATATCTTCCATCTTTAAACAAAAAGTTCAGGAAATTTGTCAAACACCGTCTTCTTTATTTAACAACAGAGCTTCTGTCTGACAAGAGTAATGTCTTTATCTTCTAGTCCTGTCCTCCAGATCGCCAATAAAGAAATTACAGTCCACGAGGAAGAGAGCAATCAAAAGAGAGCTTCCCTGGAAGAAATTAAGAAGAGAAAGTTCGAACTGAGTGTTTCTGCTCAGACTTGTATGAACTGCTCCTTTTCACAGCTCACTGGGCTCTAACTTTTATCCCCCGTTGTCTCCCTCCCCCTGTGTCTGTGATCATGTACACATTTCAGGGCTGCTGGGTAAACACCAACAGGATGAATTAGAGGAGAGCTGGTTATGCAATACTGAACTTTTTACCATACACAGAGCAGAACACAGAACATTTTTTCAATGAATCAGTAGATCATTCCAGCCAATAAAAAGAACAGTTTGTTCATGATAGTAAAATTATTTAGTCCCCCACCACATGTATTCCTGTAAAATATTTCATACCGAACATGTTGGGAAATCCATCTGTTCACAAAACATCAAAACATGTTTTGTGTTTAACTTAAGGTTAAAGATTTACGTAATTTACATGGAGTCCACATTAACAGCAACCTAATTAATAAGAAGTGAAACACTTTTAATTTCTTTTTCTGGGAAATCTGACATCTAATTATTGAAGTAATTACAGCCATTATGCTAAATATAAATAATAAAATGCAACAAATCATATAAATCTATCCTAGTTAAGATAGGAAAAAAGCAACACTTTTAAAAGAGTGGGGGAAAGGCGCTTTTCATATCTTTTGTTGTCATTCCATTAGTCAGAGTTTTGGTGGAAAAGCACAACAACAACAAAAAAAGAAAAGAAAAAATCCTTGGTAAGGGCTGAACACTGCTTGTATCACTGAAAGATTGAACAGATTCTCTTGTGCAACTCTCAGAGACTGATGTGACATCAAACTGTGTAGAAAAAACGAGCCAAAAGCATGATGCAGCACTGTCACAAAATGATGACTCAGGCTATTGATCAATCCATGACTCAGAATTTATGTTAATTCATCTGGCCTGGTTTCATATGACACTGCTGTTTTTCATTAAAGACTTCCAGAGATCTGTACTGTGAAAGTGAATTTATTTTCTGTCTCCATCTTCCAAAATTCCAGTTTTACTTTTACTTCCAGTTAAAATTTTCCCACACATCCACTTCCCGCTTGTGACTGAGCCATTCCCCTGATAGGAGTCACTTTCTTATCACTTTGAGATAGGAGTGCAAAAAAAGGACATTCAATGAATCAAGAAAAGAAAAACTGAATAAATTTTATGAGACAAAACTATTTGTATTTTTCTCATTTGTTGCTTGTCAGAAAAGTCTCTGCTAACTGAGTAAGTGTAAATGTGAATGTAAGACTTTAATTGCAGTAGTTTATATGGAGCTTCCTCCATATTTATAAAGTATGTACTGTGTCATGTGCAGATATGCCAACAGGACAAATGAAGTCATGTTATTTTTATATGACCTGTAGAAAGTGCTCAGCTGGAGTCATTCTCAATGCAGGCTGCAGACTAGTCTCTGTCTCTTACAGCTGTTCGCTTATCATAAAAAGGTTAGTCTGCATGGCCTCTGGATTCCTTTGCTGTGTCTCCAGCTATTTCTTCGCTTCCTCTTCCTTCTTTCTCAAAAACAGCTGCATCTCCTCCAAATTCTGTTCTGAGAGCAATACTACTTCTACTCCACTACTACTACTACTAATAAAAAATAGTTTTACCTTAATCTATACAAGATGATTTCAGTGGTTTGTGCCATATAATTCAGTTCTTTGTTGTCTTTGGCAAAAAAGTCCATTCTCCAGCACGTCCTTTAAGATAAAAAAAACTCCAGCAGACATCTGTAAAAAGCCATTAAATGCTCTTAAGTTGAATGATTTCAGTTCTACAAGCTTTGAAACATTTTGAAAAGCAGTGAGGTGAAAACATTTGATTTTATTCCTCCTTATCAGTTTTAAAAATGTGTTAAAGTTTTCCTCCATCTACCTAACCCTAAAAATCCTAAAATACCCAAACTGTTAGTACAGTTATTACTATATAGATTGTTCTCAAATGATTTCACATACGAGACTGTGTGAGAAAATAGTATGCTGTGTTTTCGTTCTTTCTATTTTCAATCAACATTTCTCTGTACCCCCAGCACCACTTTGTGGTCCCTGGACTTCAAAATCCATGTCCTAGAGCAGGGGTGCCCGACCCTGTTCCTGGAGATCTACCTTCCTGCAGAGTTCAGCTCCAACCCTGATCAAACACAACTGAACCAACTAATTAGGATCTGAAGGAGCACTTGATAATTACAGACAGGTGTGTTTGATCAGGGCTGGAACTGAACTCTGCAGGAAGGTAGATCTCCAGGAACAGGGTCGGGCACCCCTGTCCTAGAGGTTTACTATGCACTTTAGATGTTGTCAGAATCATAGTATACTGTCACGAAGTGCTCTCAAACAAGATCCAATTGCAGCTTTTATTAAAGAATCCAAAAAGTAATCCACGTCGGGGCAAAATACAATTATGTACATCCTGTCAGCAAATATACATTTTATCTGGTACCCAAAACCTGTTAACAAAGTTTTGTCTGGTACCCAGAATCAGAGTTTTTGTCTAGTACCCAAAGCATTATCTTCAGCCCAATAACAAAATTGATTTATAACAATAATAACAATTTATACAACAATTACTATGCACTTAAAATGTGGTCAGATGTAGTATTCTGGGCCTTCACAGGATTAACTTTTATTCTTTCTCTTAAATATTACAAATGTCTTCATCATTTTTGAATATGCCAGTTAATACATGAGCCTTTGTAGGAGCAAGGACTCTATCACAGTATATGAACCAAAATCCCTGTACAAACATTTATTTAAAAAAAAGTAGGAAATATACACACCAACATCCAGTTTAAACATGACAAACCACATCACATGACATTATGTTGGATAAATTATTTATTTTGTTAGATTGTGCCAACATCCTGTCAGCAAATATATATTTTGTCTGATGTTACTCAAAACCTGTTAACAAAGTTTTGTCTGGTACCCAGAATCAGAGTTATAGTCTAGAATCCAAAACTGTATTACTGTAATATTCTTCTACCAGCCTAGGCAGACTGAGGAAGATTTATAACAATAACAAAATTGATTTATAACAATAATCACAATTTATACAATAATTATAATTTATATCAAAATTAATAGGATGACCAGACCGTTTCTCAGACTAAATGGTTTATAAATGTCACTTAAAATTCAAAGCAGGCTTAGTAAATGGAATTTTTGATGTCTATATAAATCTATTTATCTCCACACCACACTGTGTGAAGGAGAGACATATTGTCTGCATTGCAAAATACAACCTGACGTTTCTCACTGTCTACATAAACCCCGACTCTGCTGGGTATAATCTGGGTGACGATTGGGGTTTCTTCACCTCCCCTTACAGCTTGCAGTCTGTCATTCTTTACAGAAAGAGATATGTGCTCAAAACATTTAGAAAACAGTGTCTGCCAGACAGAAACGTTTTTCTCCTTTGGGTAATATCTAACTGTAAGTCCATGTTCCCATCCTGCTTCAGCTCCTACATCAACCTCCCAGTACACCTGACCAGGATGTATGTTCTCCACATAATTGTCCTTATAACCATTGTGAAACTTCTGGAATTTGGCAAAGTAATCTTCCCCTTGAGACTGCAGATGGCTCTCTTTTTTGATAGTCAGTTTCAGGTCTTTGTCTATTGTAGATGTATCTGATAGGTCTAAAGAAAAAAAAGATTGCAGGAAACAAACATTCTCCAAATTAATGAAATGTAATAAATAATAAAAAACTCATGTTTACATAAATCCGATGACCTATGAAGTGTAACAACAGAAACTCAGCAAGAAACAAAGAATGTTTAAAACATTACTATGTGAAATGTTGCTTTAGGCTCAACTCGCCTTGTTTAACAGAGCCTAGCATGTCTCTCCAAACAATTAGTGGCAGGTCAGTTTCATAAGGGCCAAGGGTGAAGTGGTCAGAAATCACTCGAGTACCATCAAGTCTTGACTTAAATCTGTGGAAATGAATTATTTCAAATGTATTTAAGCCACACTGAATGTAAGCTCTAAGCTAATGACATATTTTTTTTTTATTTTTGATTAAATGCCTGAAAAAAGGTCTGTGGTTAACACAAGCTCAAGATATTGTCATGTTGTATTCGAAGACACACAATGCGAATGTGGTGTAGTTCATTTATAGCCTAGCTTTTAATTTTGGCAATTTATTTACAGATTAATTATTTTGTGGTGGTCTACTAGAATAGGTTTGCAAAATGTAATGCTAAAAAAACCCACATTATTTTTAATTCATATTTGGGGCTGTTGAATCCTTGAATCTGATTGGTTGACAAACGTTCTAAGATGTGCTTTGACTGCCATTACATCTTCATATCACTTTGCCAAATGATTTAAGTTATTTCAAAGGTCCTTACAGCCAGAAAAAGAACCAATACACAATAAGATAAAAAAGACAAATTATTTCCATCTATTGCCACAAAATTGTTTTATTATGTATGGAAAGCACTCTCTTTCTCCCGCTCTCTCTCCTTTACAAACGCACACACATACAGCCGCACAGAAATGTGTTGTCAGCACTGCTGTGATGATTATATCAATAAAATAGTTTCTAGCAACTACATGACATGAGGTAATAACAGTACTGCTCTTGAATAAGATCTCATTCTCATTCTCTAATTACTGCATTAATAACTGCATTGGTCTGCTATTAATGGCTCAAGCCTTCGTTACTAGCTGTAAAATTACATTTTGGAATTAGCAACAGAAGCATGGGATGAGATGCATAAGAAATTTGACCAGTATGCCCATATTTTCCCCATAGTGCCCACACCAAGTCCACAGTGTGGAAATACAATGGGCATGTTGTTGGCACACAATTGACCCCATTGTTTGTTCACTCTGCTTAGTGTGGACAACCCTATTGTGTGGGGCCCACACGTGCCCCACATTTCTTACTGGCATTGGTGCCCATGGTAGGCTGCCTGTGCAGGGCTTAATTTCCTGCCCACAGTGAGCATCTTGCTGTATTAATGTTTATTATGAATTTATTAAATAGCCAGCTGCAGCTAATGATTTTCTTTCACATCCAGGGGGTGGAGCTAAGACTTATAGCATTCAGACTTAAGCATTATTTTCTAGAATTCAATGGATTGACATCAATTATTCTTTACATAATTTACAGTGTTGCAGCACCTGTTTTCATCCTCTGTCTGAAAGGGTTTTATTTGTGCATCATTGTTTCCTTTCCTTGCTTCCTTTCATTGTGTCTTAGCTCCACCTCAGGATGTTAGAAAAGGACGCAAGGAAAGAAAATGAGGATGGAGGAATATTATATATAAAACCGAATATTCTTCATCAATTAAGCGTCACTTCAAAGTTTCATCAGCTGCGATAGAAGTTGGTTATGTGCGCTCCTCATTTGGGAGTCTCACTCATGGTCTTCGTGGTAAAAAGTGACCGGACACCTGAAATGTAATCTAATATATTTTTGATCAATAATATTTTTTCTTTTGTATTTTGAGAGAATGTTATGGTACTAATTAATATTTATGCAATAATTATGATACATTTTCCCACTAAAAATAGTACACTTTTTTTTCTAATTAAAAAAAAAAAAATTCCAATTAATGCAGTATTTCAGGTTAAAATAAAGACTAGGCCTTTAAAATCAAATTTTTGAAGGCAGAATAGCACCTCCTGGTGAGAGCAAAGAAAAAAGAAGAGAAAAACCTGTCATTTCATGGTGTAACCACTAGATTCCTGTATACAGTATGACTCTATGAAGAGGCTTGTGAATTCCCTAGTTGTTTTTATACATAATTGTTTACTTTTATTAGGTTGTGGATTTAAATGTAAATTAAGGCATTCTCAAAGACTACTTTTTGTCAATGTTTATATTTTTTGTTGTTTTAAATGTTGATTTGAAGTGTAGGTTTTTGCATTATTATTACTACATTTAAACCTGAACACAGAAAGCATTTTGTTTTAGAGTGTAACCCCTTCCTTGCTGTCCACCTTTTTACTGCAGTGTATTTGAATTATTGATTTTATTTTACATAGTTGCAGTGTTAGAGTCACACCAGTTCATTGGTGTGTGTGTGTGTGTGTGTGTGTGTGTGTACAAGTGTGTGTCCGCGCGTGTGTGAGTTGGTGTGTTGATTTTGCCCTCTAGATGTTTTAGAGATTCACCCCTTCATTGCTGTGCAATTTTATTCTGCATTGTGGGGGAGTTGTAGATTGTACACACAAAAATTGTCTGTATTTTTGATTTCTTCTGGTCGGCCATTTTTGACCGAAGACCATGAGTGTGACTATTTTTTTTTACGACCACTTAGCTTTTTCGAATCATGACCTCAATTTGTTCACATACCAGGTGCCATAAAAGTCATCAAGTTTCGTACCATTCTGGTGAAGCTACGATTTTTAAACATTCTAAATATAAAATTCTCCAGTCAGAAGTGACCGAAGACACTTCTGCACAAGGGTTAAGAAATTCATAATAAATATTAATACAGCAAGATGCCCTGTTTAAATATGTGAAATATATGGTTTATTTAAACTGCAAAGGTAAAATATAAACACTTAAAGCACAGAAAACACCTATGCCTATATCGTCACTCCTAGCTCCTCTGAAAGCTTCCTCATTCTTCATTCCTTGTCTGGGTCTAAAAGGCGCTGTTCACACAAAGAGTCGCCACTTCAAAGCGTACACTTTCCATGAGGAGACAGCTTCCTAGGTCACATCAAGCTTAGTTGAAAGATCAGAATTTAGGAGTGGGCCAAACCCACAGTTTCCACATTTTGAAGCAGGGGTGTTATATTGACCCCTGGACCTGTGACACCTGTGACTCTTTCTAGGAGAGATATTGGGTCCAAGAACCACACTGTGGGATGTGGGACTTTTGGATGCGATGTAAGCTTTGGATGCATTGAAAATATCACAATCAGTCAAAACTATTGCCGTGAAAAAGATCAAACTATCATATTTAATACATGCTACTTCTACTTCTGCATAACAGCTGGTTAAGAATAAAAAGCTGAAATATAATTGTTTACTGTAGCCCATAATGTGTTTCCTCCAAAAGTAATGTTGAGCATATTATACGTGTAGCTATTCATTCACCCATCCATTCATACATGGTCAATAAGTGAAACATGATCTTGCAGTCGTGTTATATTACAGAAAGCACAAAGTAAAAGGCTTCACACACAAATTAGAAGTTCATTACGACAAATTGTAACAGTTGTGTGCAGCCACTGTGGTTGCAGTCAGCGTCTTAAATGCAAACACGTTAAAAAAATTGTGGAGGACAACAGGCAAAGCAGGCAAAAAATGTTTGTGAAAATGCATTTTACAGCTTACTTGGTTGGCAGAGCAGACTTGATGTCTTTGTTCTCACCGAGTGTGATTGCATCAACCAAAGGGAAACCCTTTTCACTCCACCACTGAAAATATTGGAAACGGTTTTGAAGCTTAATGAAATCTACCATGCAATTGCTGATAAATTATAGTTCAAACATGGTACTGGTATTTGTATTTGTGTTTAAGAGAATATAATGAAATTACCTCTAAAAACCTCTCCGGTTGGCTCATCTGTAGTCCTGACTCCAATATGGACTCCTGGTTGTTTCCATTTATTTGCAGCTTTGATAAAAATGATGCATTTTGCCTCATTGATACTTCGGCACTGCTTGCTTGTCTGTGGAGTTGCCTTACCATTTCTTCCTCCTTTTTCCTCAAAAAGTCATGCATTTTGTTAAACTGAACATGCATCTTTTCCTCAAGTCGTTTGGCCCTTTCCTGTGGATTCACATTATATGAATAGTAGAAGAAATGTGACAGACAGACAAAAAAAGTTGAGAGTGGCAGACCAAAAACCTGAGGAAACAACAACATAGTAATGTATTTTCATAACCTTACCTTAGACGTTGTGATTTCAAGCATCTGACTCAAGATCATGTCACCCATTTGTTTGTTGTCATGTAAAATAAATCTTAGTGCTTCCCTCACCACCTTCTATATGAACAATGGCAACAACACAATATTTTCATCTCAGTTTCATCCTGATGCATCTTATTTGTTTAATCAATAAATAATTAACAACCTCACTGATCTCCATAGCTTCCTTTACAGGCTTGAAACTGTGTCCACAGTGTTTCTCTCCCTCCTTGCAGATGAGGCAAACCAATTTCCGGTCATTCTCACAGAAAAGTTTAAGTGGTTCCATATGCTCAGAGCATAGCATTTCTTGAGTATTCTTTGGAGTCTGTTGTCTTGTCTTGAGTTTTTGTTGTTGTAAGACGTCAACAACATTTCTCAGCACTCGGTTACCTTTAAGATCCTGTCTGGTGAAGTTTTGTCTGCATTCTGGGCATTTGTGAGCACCTTCATGTGATTCCAAATAACTTGTAATACACTGTCGGCAGAAAACGTGCTCACAAGGTAAACTTACTGGATCGTTGAAGTCACTCAAACACACTGGACACATGAGGCAGAAAGAAAGGGTTGAAGCCATGTTCAACAAAAACAGAAAGCTTCACCTGTTGTAATCAGACCAGTATGTTCAGTCTTGAAGCTGTAATGTTTGTCCAGTCCTTTATTGAGTAAAAACACACCCTCTCACATCAGAGAACAGAATGTTGTACATACTTCTGCATTGAATTCAAGAACGCTTAAAAAAACCTTATAAAAAACACTTGGCAACCATTTAAAACAAGGTTCAATTAATTAGTATTAGTTAATGCATTAGATGTTATGAACTAAAAAGGTACAACAGTTTTACAGCTTTTATGTCACTGGTATATCACTGTATATTTATATTTTTTAATAATATATTATATCATAGCCAATATGACGTACCAATGAATAACAATGTATTGTAAAGTGTTATCACAGTATTGATGTAGTTTTTTGTTACTCAGTGAAAAACTGTAATTTTATGACATTTTATGGACTTTTCTTATAGAAAAAAGCAGCTTAGCTGATAACTTTGTGTTACAAATGTTGAAAATGGTTTATGGATTTTCACCGTAATTTCTCCCTAAATACATTTGGTGATTTTTGTGGGGTGCAAAAAAGTTCAAAATATTTGGTCAGCTGTTATTATAAAAATGACATGGAAAAGGTTGTGGATAGAAATTAACAATGGAACTGTCTTTGCTTAGTAGAAGCATTGACTGAAAAGTATTTGTTATAATAAAATACAATCTGAGTCTGTATTCTATATTTTGAAAGATAGGTATATACAGTAAGGTATAAGGTGTGATATTCCGGTTTGGTTTCTTTCCGAGTTATATAATCTGTGGGAGGAACCTTGCCTAGTTATGCAAACCAAATATGAAACTGAAAGTTTTCGCTTAAGAAACAAGAGTTGGCAGTTGAGGAAGGAAGCAAACATGCATTCAGCTTTGTCTTTACAGATAAAGTGCTCAGTGTGCTTGAGCGATTTTACCGACCCAGTTACACTTTCTTGTGAACACTCGTTCTGCAGGAAGTGTATCACGGGCCACATGCAGGCCAGTCTGGGACCAAGAGCCTGCCCAGAATGCCAAAGTCCCTATGACGAAGAAGACCTGAAATCCAGCCGTTTATTGAGAAACATGACCTCCACTGTGAGAGAGCACCTTGCCGAACTTAAATTGGATGAATCTACACCTAAAGAAGGAAAAGCAACCTTAAAGCTCTCAGAAATGGAAGGGATGTTGATGTGTTCGGAACACGATGAGAAATTTAAACTGTTCTGTGAGACAGATCAGAAGCTGGTGTGTGTCATCTGCAGGGATGGAGACAAGCATAAAGGGCACGTCTTTAAACCAGTGAAAGAAGCTGCACAGATCAACAAGGTAAACGCGGCCATTTACATATGAGTCAATTCTGACTTCCTGATGAAAGCACTGCAGCTTAAAAGCTCCTTTCTTGCTTTCAAGTGTCTTTCAACCTATGCTATTTGTGCAATGTTATTAATGGCATAATTAGGTTTCTAAATTTGAATCCAAGGCTTATTTCATTTCAGATAACCAGAAGCTTCATTGTTCTCTGTAAGTGTTTTTTTAAATCTGAAAATCTTGTTCTCTAGGGGGAGCTGAAGACTGCGCTGGGGTTTCTTGCCAAAGAAAATGGACAGCTGGATTACATGATCCAACAACAGACGACTGAGATCACCAAAACTGAGGTATCAAAGTGTGTGTATGTGTATATATAATGAATTATTTGCACTGAGACCAGGGGTTTGACATTTAATTTACTTCCATAAATTCTAAATGTCTGGACTCATATTTTGGGCTATCTATTAATTCAGAAATACATAAAAAACACAATTCATACATAAAATGGCTTGAATTTTATATTATATTGTTTTTCCCCCAACAATTTTACCCCCTTCCCCCAAAAAACTGCTATTTATCAATTAATAAATCATGACATTTGTTAATAAAATACTTTTTTGCTTTTTTAATTAAAAAAACAAACAAATATATTAGGTTACACACACACAAAAAAGGGGGTGTATAAGGTAGAGATATCTCCTCAAGGTAAGAATGAAAACACTAAATATCACTAATTTATAGCCACAATCTATGCATGTTTTTTCCTCTCTATTTAGGATAAATCCAAAACTTTATCAGCCCGGATCTCTGCTCAGTTTGAAGAAATGCACCAGTTCTTAAGACAAAAAGAGGATGAGGTGAAGAAACGGTTGGAGAAGGAGGAGAAGAAAGTTATAGAATTCATGCAGAATAATCAATCTGTGATAAACAGACGGTTCATGGAGAACAAAGAGAAGGAGATTATTCTGCAGTCAGCCCTGGAGATTGAGCAACCTGATTACTTCCTACAGGTCATAACACATTACATGATGGTTTTATTTTTAAAGGGTTTTGTTTTGTTTAAAAAAAAAAAAAAACCAGTAATCACAATTTATTTATAATTATATAACTATTAGGATCTATCATAATGTATTACCTTTGAGTTTTCAATTACAGTTATGTTTTACACTGTACATAATAAATAAAGTGTATTTGTCTGCAGTGGTGGAATGAAAAAGGATTTCCAATGACAAAGAACATGAAGCAGAAAGCCGACATGACACCATCAAATATCAAGTAAATAAAGCACAATGGTGTTACTGTTATTTAGATCTAAATGATATCAGTGTGTGCAGGGTAGAAATGAAGCTTCGCTATGCTGACTTTCTCTATAACTTTCAGGTACATGTCAAGGGTGAAAGATCTTACTGTGCTTCCCGACTCTCTCTTTCTTGGCCCTCATGAAACTCACCTGCAGTTCTTTGTGTGGAAGGAGATGCTGGGATCCATCAAACCAGGTGAAGAATATGACAAAACACACCTTGTAAAATTCAGCTAAAATGAAACAAGATTTGCATTCATGGAAAATGCCAGCACTTGTAAAGTAAGGTGCTAAGGTTTTAAATTTTAGACTTGTTTTCTGTCAGCTGTGTGTGAGAACTACATGCCTATTTATTTATTTATTTATTTTTGGGGCCAGATCTATTAAAAAATTAAAAAATACATTAAATACTAATACTAATTATACTACTACTAATGATAATTTAAAAAAATCTACTGTATAAAATCTATTAGAATTAATTTATCAATTAATCAATAAATAAAAAATATATAATATAAATATTACATTTCTAAGAACTTGGCACATAGGTTTTAAACTAGATTTTTAAAAGACCCACTTTTTCTTTTTCTTTTTCAACATCCTCATCATTATCGTTGACACATTTGGCAGCTTTTGTAAAGGTAGCTAAGACCCATCACAATTCACTATACAAACACATCAGACATCAGTGAAAAATATGCAAATTATATCACAATGACATTTGGTCAGTCACATATTGAACATTAAAAAATTCTATTCATGTAAATCGACAGGAGATTTTCAAACTTTAACCTTAATTTCTTAAAAATGTAAACCAAGTTTGAATGGAGGAAATCTATACATTTAGTGGTTTGGGGAATTCATTTTAAGTTACATTTTTATGATTATGGGTTTAAAACAAACTGTAACCAGAATGTTCAGCACAGTGCTGTCTTGCAAAAATTGCTAAAACTTCTCATTCAACAAATAATTTGTCTTTTAATAATGTTTCTGTCTGTGTCTGTGCTGTAGTTCCTGAGAGTTTGACCCTGAAAAATCCTGGACAGTCATACTTAAAAGTGTCTCCAGGGGGCGCCAGAATCCGACAAGCTGACAGAGTGACTGGTCTGTATAAAGACTTCAACCCTGGTACAGTTTCAGAGGAAAACTTCCAAACTGGCCAGCACTACTGGGAAATAGAGGTCAGAGAGAAGCCAGACTGGACTGTGGGAGTTAAGATGAGAGCAGCAAAGTCAGCTGAGAGTGAGATCCTGCTCCACCTTAAACACAGTAAAGGATACGTTCTGTTCTGTGATGGAAAGGACACTACATTGAATACTCAGGACAAACCACAGAAAATAGGGTTGTATCTGGACTGTGAGAGAAAGCAGGTGTCGTTCTATAATGCAGACAGCATGTCTCGCTTGGCCCAGATAAACTACAGCTCAAAGCAGCCTTGCTGTCTTACTCTGGTTCCAGGACTTTATCTGGATGGGGTGAACAGCGATCCTCTCACTGTCTGCTCATATGAGTTTAACACAGGCAAACGCTGACATGCTAGCACAGTTACTAGCTGCACATTTTTGAGACATTGTAAACGTCTCAGATTTGAGACATAGGGGATATCTACGTCATCAAAGATCAGATTATAATAAAGATGTTTTGAGCTTTACAGCTGTGTCTGCTAAATGACACATCATGATAATATGAACTACAATTTAATTTGGTTTCAAGGACAAGGAGAAAAATTCATTCTTCAAATGAATTTCTCAATTGCAGGCCAGGATGTCTGAGTTTGACCAACAAAAGAGTAATTAACAATCAGGTTGTCTTCCTTTTCACATGTATATCTTTGTATTCATTTTCAGTTTTAGATGGCTTATTTCAGCTTATCTATTAAGTTATCTATTAAGTTATCCTGCCAAGAGATATGAGTGGTTTTCTGCTTTTCTTGTAAATGTTGTTTGATGAGCATACACTCTAAAAAATGCTGGGTTGTTTCAAACCAACTTTGGGTCAAAGATGGACTGACCCAGCTGTTGGGTTACATTTTTTAATTACATTTTTAACCCAAAAGTTGGGTTAGTCCATATTTGACCCAAAGTTGGGTTGAAACAACCCAGCATTTTTTAGAGTGTACCTTATCTGTCTTTCATTTTATCCAGTGGTGTCTGGTATATGAAATCAATAAATACTACAGTATGTTCTCTCTTTCATTTTATGTAAATATTACTAATTTACCCAAGATACTTAACATAAAATCATGTCGAAGAATGTTGTGGGTGGGGAATACAATTATTTATGTATTTTCTTATTTAGGGTTAAGAGGAAACATAGGTCAGGATTTGTCTCTGCATTGAAATTATCTGTGGAAAAAACATCTGTAAATACACAGTATCATGTGATAAATAAACTATAGACTATTACAACTTTTAAAATCTTTTTGTAAAAGTTTAAATTATTTTAAAGATAAAAATAAAATATTTTATATTAAACAATCATACATTTATTAAGGAACCTGTCTCGCTTTGTTGATTACTGTATTTAATATCATATTTAAAGCAGTCTGTACAATACGGAGCACTGGAAAATGACATTGAAAGCTGTATGCAAATATCTACAATATCCATTAACATTAAAATAAATTGTGCTGTAATCTCTCTCTCTCTCTCTCTATATATATTGTAATACTGTAGGCATCTCTACTTCCTTTGGGTGGTGAGAGTTCTTCCTTCCTAAATAAATGAAATAAATCAATAAAAACAATTTCCTGACCTCTCATATAAGTTTTTTTTGCACTGTCATGATTGCAGATTGTTAAAGATCAATGCGAATCATCAGATTCTGGGATGTTCAAAACTCACCAGCTCTTCTTGCACAGATGATCAGAAGAAGAATCACAGTAGGAGCAGCAAACACTGCAATCTCAACAATAATCACAATCAATGCAGGAAAGATGTGTGGACAGATGACAGAGAGAAAGCAGAGAATGAATCTGTGAAACTGTAACTTGCTTATTAACAGGGTATGAACCAATGAACAATTATTGACAAGCCGTTTTCAAATTCAAATTTTAGTTTTAGTGCATGCAAAGCCATTTCATACCTCTGAATAATGATCCAGCAGTCATACAGACTACAGTCTCTGATGCACTGTCAGCTGGATCTGTGTATGATGATTATTAGTTCAGTTCAAACATAATGTGACATGAATAAGACATGCATAAATACATTGTTGTGTAGTAACAGCAGGTGTGTGTGTGTGTGTGCAGCTGAAGTCATCTCAATGTTTGAGGTAATGATCTATTTATCTATATACACTCTAAAAATTGCTGGGTTAAATATATATCAAAACAACCCAATAGCTGGGGTTGTCCCTTTTTAACCCAGCATTTTTTAGAGTGTAGGTTGGAGGAATTGAGTTCAGATTCAGATTTTAGTTCAGATCATTTATATGAGAGTAAAACACAGTGAGCTGCAGCCCATAACCTTTGTCCTGAACGAATAACATTAGTAATCAATCATGTTATGTCTCCGTATCAGAGAGTCTTCCGATACTGATTAAAGAAATTTAGTTTCTTACCTGAATACTTGACAGTATGTGACTGAGGTCTTTAGTTCATTTCTGTTTAACCTGGCATTTCCACTCTCTGTTGTGATCTTCATTCAGGAGTGTTGTAGTCAGAGTACTGATACAGTGTCCTGAGGAGAATGATATCTGATATCTGGAGTCTGTCTGCAGATTCACACCAGTCTAATTCACCCAGATCAGCTGAACTCCCTCAGTACGGACCAAAGTATCACAAGAGACTCCATCAGTATACAACTGACAGGAGAGAGTCACAGAGCTGCCGTTTCTGATCTCTGACTGTGAGGATGATGAAGAGACTGAAACAGAAAATAAAACAGAGATTACATGACTGATTTCAGTCTTTGCAGGGACAACAATACCACTGTTATACCAAATCAACATATAATCATAATATTTACAGAAACACTGACCATGAAGAAAATGCAGATGAACACGTGCATCAGTTCCTTGTTGTTCATTCACATATTGTTGGCAGCTGTAAGATCCATGATGTTCAGAGAGCAGTCAGAGCCCAGACTCTCATGTCTCTCTATGTCTTTCTTCTTTTTACCTCCAGCAATCAGTTTAAATGTATGTCTATTGCAGTTCCATGTAATTGATGTGCAGGGCAGACGGACACCAGAACCGCATTCACTTCATGCGTCACTTCTGCTCCACTGGTTCACAGTACCACAGTAGTGGGGTGGGATCCTCACAACACCTCATCAATCATATTAATAATAATAATCAGTATATCATGCCCCCCCCCCCTCGCCAAGGGCCCCTGTTACTCAGTTCCACTATTACCCCCTGTCCAATGCCCCTGTCTACAATTAATAATATTGAACAGCACCAGCTTCCTGAATGTGAACAGTATTTCATTATGGAACTTGCACACTTTAATTAGGTAATGAAAAACATTCAGTGATAACTTCAATTCACATGTAGATTCATAAAGACTAGCATGAGTGTCCAGATCCTCACCAGTTGAGATGTTGAGATCAATATAGAATTCAATGGTATGAAGCAACTTCCTAAAAGAAAGAAGAGGAACTGCTGGTGGAATGATTCAGTCTAAACTGAGTTCACAGATCATCATCTTCTATATATGTCTGTTGAACCAGAGTGGGCAAACTAACAGATTCTCACACTGGTTCTCACACAGAACAGTCACATGATTTGAAACAGTTCTGAGATATCTCTGGAAAACATGTAACATTATTTATTATGCAACATGTTACGCTTTCTGTGTTATATTACTAACATAGCACAGTAAGTGTACAATATAAATCCATTCAGTATGAGAAACCAAGAAATGAAAGGTAATTAAAAAAAAAAGTAAACAAACCATTAATACCTTAAATTAAACAGAAGATAGTTAAATATTCACACAGTCTTGGGAACTGAACACAAGACAATACCAGGATACATTTGAAAATTCAGAGATGATATGTGTATCAGTTTAATTCTGATGATTGCAGATTTTCTTAATGTTTTAAATATTTGCGTTGTTTAAATTCTCTCTCAATAAATAACATTGTATTAATACAAGTATTCATTTAAAAGTGAATTCTGCTTTTAAAATGTTCCATCAATTAAGAGCAAGTTCAGTTACTTCTGATTTGACTGGAATTGAAGATACAAAAAATTTTGGGCTTCTCCATGGAAGAAAAAAATGGTTTAAGACAGAAATCCTACTGATAAACCTTCAAGCCAACCTTACTGTGAACTGACCAAATATTTAATATAAACGTTCTGTTCCTTAACATACATTGAATCTCATAAATGCATAAATCTCTGCAGATGTGAAAAACTGCTATCTGCTCATAATATGAGGTCATGCAATGATTTGCATAATTGTTGTTTATTTGTGAAGGCTGGTGGTGGTGTTCACAGAGGCGTAAAGTCCATCCTGAGGTGCATATTCTGTTCCTCTGATGGCAGCGTACACCACTGTATGATTAGAATCATTCTGAAAGTAGAACATCACAGATTTTGTCAGTTCATGTGGACATTTCAACCTACACCTATTATTACTTCTTGATGTTAGAGCTTCATTTATCTGCAAATTCAGAGCTACATATCAGCAGCATATAGATCAGAGAAGGTGGGTATATTTTCTCTGAACATGACTGTTATTGGGCAGTGATGGAAGAACAAGTGAATGTGGTGGTGCCGTATCTATCTACTCACATAGTCTATTTGTACTTGTTTTTTACTGGAAGCGGTAACCTCAGAATAGGTCACATCATCTCTCTGTTCCTAAACATCAATAGAAACATGGCAAATAAAGTTGAATACAGTAAAAGACATCTGACAGTACAGTAAATTGCATTATGGAATAGACAAATAGACACATAATCCTGTTAACTCACATTGGCGTTTGGCATAGTAGGAATGGACATGTTGATGGTTTCATAGGTCCCTTTATGTTCATTCCTATCTTTGACCTTTAGATAACAAGTAGTTATTAGTAATTGCATGAATTACACACTTTACTGAACTTAAAATACAGTAATCAGATCCAAATAACTGGCATTACTGAACTCACCACAGAGCTGTCAGTCCCTCTTTGATCACCTATAAAATGCAATGTGCTCATGTAATGATAAAACAGACATGCAAAACACATTACATTACATTCAAATAAAAAGGATTTGGTTGCCCCACTGAAATCAATGATGAAAAAGATTCTTTATTTTTACTTGATAACTCTATCTCACTGATATTCTCGGCAGGAATAAAGTTCTGTTTCATAACTTCATAGTTCGACATGTTTTCATATAATCTGTATGTTTCTATGATTTATACAATCTGAAAATGATGGTTTATTGCTAATGATAAAGTGAGATCTGATTAGGTTTTTATTATTATACAAAGGAGGACATACAAAAACGTACCATCTCTTTTTTTACAGATCATCCAGAAAACAGAAACAAGGGCAACAGCTAATGCAGCAGCCACAGCAGAGATCACGATCACGGTCACTAAAGGAGAGAGGACAGGCAGACATAGTCATGTGCAGGAAACATCTGTAATGAGTGTTTCCTTTATCTTGTCTTGTCCTGGTTATCTGCTTTTTTCCCTTTGTTGCCTGTTTTGGGTTACCTAGTAAATTTTAACCCTACCCCTGACTATTGATTGATTCACCCAGATCAGCTGAACTCCCTCAGTACGGACCAAAGTATCACAAGAGACTCCATCAGTATACAACTGACAGGAGAGAGTCACAGAGCTGCCGTTTCTGATCTGTGTGGATGATGGAGAGACTGAAACAGAAAATAAAACAAATGACACAACAGACTTTTTAAACATTTGAGTTTAAAAGAAGGATATGTTTTTATAAATCGACCACATAAACATAAAATTACCATGAAGAAAATGCAGATGAACAGGTGCATCAATTCCTTCTTGTTGTTCATTCACATATTGTCGGCAG